TGTATAGTCATACTTAATTAGCATCTGTGGTTTTGATACCTTTAAATGCACATCTGCTACATGAAAGCATTTTTTCTCCAAAATCCTTATTCTTCCATCACCAAGAGACAGATGAACAAAAACTTGTTTCAAGAATTATGATTATTTGGGTGTTGTTTTTCAAGCATTGAGAATACATACCTGTATGTAGTAGTAGAATTTTTACTCTGAGGCAGCTGCACAATTCTTGCCATTGGTGAGCATCTGCACCAATAATACTAGTTCACCATTACCTTAAAAAGTCTAGGTGGCATGCTAATACAGGTGAAAATGAGCATTTTGTATTACCCTTTGGCACTTGTGTAGGGTAAAGCTAGTATTAGTTTTTAGTGTTTCTGGTGTCCTTTTGTTTTTTGTGTTAAAGATGGGATGGGGAAGTTATGAAGCACCTGTCCATCTGCTGGAAAATGGAGGATTCTGTTACCAAAACCTTCATTAGGTGTGCCTAATGAAGTATAAGTTTCTTGGCAGAGGTTTGTTTTTGGAGACTGAGTATCTTGAGATCAGTCAAATTTTGGTATACTTCTTTTTAACTCTTTGACTGCACAAAATTTCCACATGTAATTTGTTCTTCAATCTTCAGAGTGAGATTGTCTTTTGATTCTGTTTATTCTGATCAGCTGCTGCGCATCTAAATGTTGTAGCTTTGAGATTTAGGGCTAGAATTCAGTTGCATTCTCTGAATGTGGTTTTGTATTGGTAGTCATTTACTGGAAGAGGGGGAAGAAAAACCAAACTTCCAGTGAAGACAGAGTAGAATGTGCATTTGGATGGTACCTTCAATGACATACTGTAAAATGGCAGGGAATATGAGGAATAATTGATGGTATAGAGCATAAAATTAAGTTTATAAGATCAAGTGCTCTTCTTGGAGTATATAAAGCCACTCTATACCTTCACAAGAATGTAGAAGAAGTACCATATGAAAATAGAATCAGGGAAGCAATCTCTTCAGTTTTCATAATAAGTTACATATCAATAGCAGTACATAATATGAGCACGTATAGGATTTGAAGTATGTGTTTTTTGCTATTTAATGCTCATTGCTGGCTCTCAGTTTGCATTATGCACCTGTAACTGGAGATGCAGATGTGCATTTTTCTGAGGTTGGGGCCTTGTAGCTAGCTGTCTGTGTGCACGTCTGAATGCTCAAATAGTTCCCTTTGTTGTGGCAAAACACAACAGCACAAGTAATGGATGATGGTTTGGAGAGCCTCAAATGTGCATTTCCTGCTTATAAGTACAAACATGTTAGAATTTCCAGGATTTCCTATTTCTGTAAATTATTTCCTCTTTCAGAGTCCCTATGTCATTGCTACTGCTTTCATGGCCATGTTGTTAAGGGAGTGGGTTTTTTTCCTTTGTCAGGAGACGCAGTTTTAATACCCTCGCTTCTTTCAGACCAAACCCTGCAGAACTGTTGCATGCAATCATTCTGTCGCTTCTAGGGTTGAAGTATCCTCTGCATTTAACTTAGTTTTACTCTTGACCTTCTGAGCTTGCTTCACCTTGTGGTTTCCAATCTACATAATAATTTTGTGTCACACTTCAGTTAAATGGTTTCTTTTTGACAAATGGAAGTACCTTCAAAGAGGGTTTAACTATATATTCTGCCTCAGCAATAATGCCATTCTATTTGACTTGATTTATCTGTAAATATAAATGTCTTTCTGAATACCATCTTAAATTATGTATAAGTGGAGATTATAAATTATCTGTATAAAAATTACTTTCTAGGAAAATTGTACATATAAAATATATACTGTGAGTAGTTCTGGATTAGGTACTGTTCAGCATGAAGCTGATGTTATATGAGAGAAACCTAGGAATTACTATAATATGTGCAGTTAAAAAATGTGGTGATTTGATATCTGATTTTAGAAGCATATCCTAAACCAGCTGCATCAGAAGGGTGTAGAAGTTTTGGGTGTCAGCCTAAAGACTTGCAGTCTAAAGCACACAATTCTCATTGCCAGGACTAACTTAGAATTCTAGCTTTGCTGTGCCTTATACACTACTACGGTCATGATTTTGCTATGTGTTCCTAGAAAGAGGAATTGTATTGCCTTCCCTAAAAGTTATCCATGACCATCCTTTTCCTATGCAGTGGAAACAGAGGGCTGTGTAGTGATCAAGACTGATATTTCATAACTAGGGTGTTTCAGATAAAATTGTCTCTAGAAGTAGGAGATATTGCAGATGTATGATATATTTGAGAAGGTTGTCAGGAACAAAGAAATTTTACATTTTCGTGTTCTTCCCTGGCACTATGAGCTTCTGGTAAATTCTGGAGTCACTGAGAAATAATTAAACCAGTGATGTGGTTGACATGTGCTTCAAGAGAGAATGGCAGTATGCAGGTTTGCTACTTTTTAAGTCTGGTGAGTGAACCCTCGCCTGCTGGAAAGAGGAGATACTAGCAATAAGAGGAGGGGATTTGCAGTGTAGCAAGAAGATGTGAAACATTTTACTTGACAGACAGTGACCTACTAGATTTGATGTATATAAATTGCGTAATGCATTTTCTTCATAAAACTTTTACTAATTAAATACTGCATTTTCACAAAGAAGCTGATTGTTGATCAATGCTGTTACTCTGTCTTTTGCTGTTTTCTTAGTTCTAGTGTAATATTGGTGTATCTGATCTCACATAAGTGACTGTCTAAAACTATTAAAAAAACATTCACGGTTCAGGTTCTCATCATAGTAGCAGCTTCAGACCGACTTGGATGCCTTGAAAAGGCCTATACAAGGATCAAAGAGAAAGTGATCCTTGAAACTGTAACAATGTTTCTTGGCTTACAATGTCCTTTCAGAAAATTACATGGGATTTTGTGTGTTAGATGTACATGGCAGCCTTTTCTCTCTTTTTCACAGAGCTCTATGTTTTGTTTGCATCTGTGTTTTCCATTGTTGGTGTGCTGATAAGTAAATATTTTATGAGACTTTGGATTGGTATTTAACAGCTGAGATGGTTGATTATACCGCTGAAAACATTTGTCATTGCCCATTCCAATGCCATCAATATGAACCAGCTGAACTCTGCCTTTCTTTTTCTTTGCTGCCCCTGGGGTTTAATGGCTTTGCAGAGAAGGTCCTGCCTGGCATATTGAGCTTCTCCAGAAAGTCTAACCCATAAGCAGTGAGTACTGAACTGCAGCACACTAATGCTGTAGGTGTTGACTCACCATGCTGTTTTTAATTGCGGTTCTCTTGAAGGTAGATGATCTGTGCAGACTGTCAACACATTGAGTCTTTGGGGTATCTACCAATCTGATGATATATTTGTATGGCTATAAATGCTGTTCTGCTTTTCTTTTATTGGGAATTAACTTTTCTCCTGTGCACATACTGTTTGCATTTAAAACTAGTTTCTATGTGTCTGTGGCTCTTGCTATAGCCAGCAAATGGTTATGGCTCAAATCTCCAGTGATATGTGATCTTACAGAATTTTTGAGCCTGATGTAAACCAGCTTTCAGATGTGCATGAATTGAAAAGCATGTGTAATGTTTTGATGTGAGTGATACCAAGATATGATTGACCAAGTCTGGATTTACTTTATTACTGGAAAGTCATTCAAAATAACCATGTGCAAATTCGGGCAGGGGGAATCTATAATTCTGATATGTGTTCATTTGTGATATAATTGCTTTGAAAAAATTTTCAGTTTTTTTTTGTCTCAAGGGAACAAGCAGTTTTTTATAATTGGTGTGTTGTTAGACATAGGTCTCTCAAAATTCCATTCCTGTTTGGCTGGAGGTAGAAAACAACTGTTTTGGTAGTCTCAGTTGTTTCTTTGTATGCATTTTTCTAGAGAGAAAGGTGCAACTGATTTGTCTAAATGATATGTTCCAGCTGGAGGCTACCCTGAGGAGTAAAAAATGTCTTATGGGCATGGACAGTTTTGGTACAACCTTGCCTTTTAATAGGTACTTTCAGACTTTCCCAGGATAGTGTTAGTGCCTGTAAATAATGGCAGAGTTGATTCAGGAATGCAGAGCAAATCAAATACTGGGCAGTGTGCACAGAAACCAGTTTGTTCCTGCCTAAAGATTCTCCAGCACATAGAGAACTTTTGAAAATATTCTCCAGGTCACTCTGTAAAGGAGATGTGATGTTATAACTTTTTGTAAATTGGGGAAAACATAGTGTATTGCTTTGGGTATTTTCATGCAAGCCCTAGAGAGGTCTTACAACCTTAATTTTTATTTTATTTTATTTTTTGAATTTTTATGAGGCTACTGACCGTGGCATAATTGCATATGCACTTTGTAGACATCTGGGAGGCTTAAGATATTGATGCTGTTCTCCTGCTGTTTTTCTCTCAACTGAAGGTTGCTGCCCTCAAAGCTGAGCCACCCTTGTGGATCATATGAACTATCCTAGTCCATGTTAGTGCAAAGTCAGGCTATTTTAAATTACTGCAGAATGCAGCTGCAGGTAGTCATGAACACCTTGATGTAATAAACCATTCCTTAAACCATTCTAGCTAGACTTCCAAGAGCACATCTGTCTGTGTCCTTCTAAGTACAATACTTAACCTCTGCATTGCTGTATTGTATTCAGGATTCATCAGGACTGGAGAGTTGTTGCCAAGGGGAGTCTAATATTCAAGTGGAATGTATTGGTGCTTCCTGTCTATCCTTATTATCACATTGCAATACAAAGGTTTGAATGATGAATGTGTAACATATACATTGAATGGTAAAGTAAGTTTATTTTCATATATGAGGTAAATGTGTAGAAGTCATGCTTTGGAAACTCTTGGAAAGAGATTACTGTACAAAGTCTATGTCCATACTCTTGCTTCTAGTTCAGCCACTTCTAGCCACTTAGCTTTGATTCCTAGCCATTTCTTACCTTCTCTGTACCCTTGCTTCATTTCCCCCAAAGCTTCCCTGTATTGATTAGAAATAAAATGAATTTTTTAGCTCTATTCTTTTTTTATTTTTTGCCCCAGGTCCAGCAAGACTATGAATCTCTGTTCCAAATGCTTTGCTGGTAAGTGCAGTAAAAGGTTTTGTGTTTCCCTTAGATTATTGAAACCACATTGTTGGCATTTCCCTTAGGATTTTGTGCATGAGTTTCTCTTCCTTAAGTGTGTATATGTGATGAGATTTTCCTCACTTTGGTGCTTCCTTTATTTGCTAATCTAGAACACCTTGTGTAAATGTAACCCTCAAACCTTGTTCTTGAAGTTTAGGGAATTTAGGTACATCCTTGAACTACAGAGCTCAGTTGCCAGCACAGCTCCTGTACAGATGATGTGGTTTCCACAACACATAAGTCTGAATTTAATTTGGAATTTTGTAGGATTTATTTTCTAATAACTTCTGATATATAGAATGGATAAAAAAGTAAAAGGAAAAGTTGGTATAGAACACCTCGTTCCATTTCCTTTAACTTGCAGTCCTTGAACATTAAATCATCAGTAAGTCATCAGTAGGCTGTTCTAATTACTTTATATTTTCTTATTCTTAGGTTATTGCTAGTGTGCAAAATGTTAGGAATTGTTATTGACCTTTTCCTGTTAGCAGCTTCTAACTTTGCCCTTCTGAATGAATTTTTTGTATTACTTAGAATTGTAAGCTTAGTTTTAATTGTAATTAAGGTCCTGATGTAGCTTAACTGCCTTGGGGCAATAGATAACATTTTAAAAGGTTCAGTATTTTTTTAAACTTCAAAGCTTTTTTAGCATTTTTTAAACAAAAAATGAATTTTGACTTAGATTTCAGATTGGGTTCAGCATCACTTCATTAAACAAACACGTGGGAAATGAAGATTTTTAAAAGGTTGTTCAGCACAATGTATTTCTCTGGCTGTTTTCCAAAGGTATGGGTCTCTGGGAAGGGTATATTGAAGAAAAATGAAAGTGATTTCTTGTATTCTTTCCCTACTGACCACAGTCATAAACAAGTCTTTCATTTGACTCAGTAGGACTGTTATGTTCATATTAGCACTGTAAATAACTTGTGTTTGTGTACTCAGCAATGCTGGGATTCTGATTCTGAGACATCAAAACAGCCCATCCCTCATTTTCTGAGTTTAGCAGATTGCCCAGCACTTCATAGCCAGCAGACCAGGCATTAGGCAGAGCATCCTTTCTTGTGGCTTTTACTGGTTTGGATTTTTTTTTTTGTTTGCAATTTTGTTTCTTTTTAATGAGAAGGAAAGTTCTTGGCTTGTATTCTGCAATTTTTCTGAAATGCCATTACCTCTGATAAAGTTAATTTTTCTCTGCTGTAAAACTGTAAGATGAGACCCTGTGTGATTGGCAGGGTGGGGATGGGAGAGCTTATGTTTTTAAAATTTCAAGATGATCCTTAGAGCCTGTTTATTTTAATAACAGAAGTCTTTCAAGTGTTTTAGTAACTTAAAGTGCTACTAGTGGTTGGAATAAAGATACTGTTGAAGGTACTGTGGAAAATGACAAATTTACTCTGTGTTATTTAGATTTTAACTATGGTTCCTTCAACAAGTAGTATTGAAATAACATGTTCTTTTGGAGTGATAACTCAAAACCTCTCAGTGTCATCATTCCAATATAAAAGTGTTTTTCTATTATTTCTTTTTTACCCCTCATGTTACTGAAATATTTTTTGCATATTTTCTATACTAGCTACAGATTTGCTTCTACAGGTTTCTAGCTACAGATTGATATAGAAAGATATGTACTCCTGTTTCTGTACATTTAACCATCACAGGTAGTAAGATTTTAGGGGAAGTAACGTGTTGAAAGATGTTTTTCACTGTTTCAGGTGCTCCAGAGAAAGGATATCAAAAATAATTCCTCTTTTTTCTCTTTTAATGTGGCAGGTTATTTATTCAAATGTATTGGAAGCAGAGGGAAAATTTCAAAATATTATTTTTCTTGACCATCATTTCCTTTTTCTTTTATTTCAGAAAAAAGAAATCCACACAATGAAAAAGGTTAGTAACTCTTTAAATTACTTTTTATGTTAATTTTTTTCTAGATGGAAGAATCCAGTCTTCCTTTTTTTTAAAAAAGAATAAATTTTATTAGCAGGAAGGACCCTTACATTTGTGTAAGCATTCCTTTTATATATATATATATATATCAGGGGAGAAGGGCATCAAGTCCTCAGGGGATGAAATGTTCTTTTATCAGCACAGTATGATTTATTCCTGGAACCTTCCTACCTTAGCAGGTTTTTCAGAGTTTCTGAACTATCAACAGGTTTGTAAATACATGATCATGAAGTCTTTGCTTCTGCGTTTCCTGGCTTCCCCATTGTTCTGGTTCTGCCAGAACAGGGTTAATTTCTGCAGTAGCCAGGAGGGGGCGTGGCTGGGACTGGAGGTTATCCTGTACCACTTTACCTCACTGAAAAGGGTGAGGGAAAAGGGACACTCCTCCAGGGAGAAGGGGTTGGCTTCCAGTCAAGAAAGTCTGGCAGAGGGAGTGGTTGGGTAATGCCAGTTCTGAGCATTTTGCATATGAACCACTCTCCTCTCTCTGATACATTTTTGTTTTCAGTGTTGTTGCTGTTAATGTTTGTTTTCTTATTTCATTGCTGTTTCCAGCAAATTTTTCTTAACTCAGCCTGTGATCTTTACCTTTGTGCCTCCAATTCACCTCTCCAGCCTGTCACAAGGGGAGGGGGAAGTGAGGGAGCAGTTTATGGTTTGGAGTTTCAGTGGGACTCTTAATTCAGGAATATCATTCCTAAACCATGACACCTATCCCTTGGGGAAAAAATGATCAAGTTTGACCTCCATCAGACTAATTAGCCCAGAACCGGAGCAAAGGGTGATGTCAGTTTGCCTTATTGTTAGACCAAATGCTTCTGTTTTCTAGATTTATTATCAAAACAAATTGACTGAATTTTCACTCACATTTGTCCAAGGACGAGACAAACTGCAAAAGCAACTAGATAATATAGCAGGGAGACTGGCATTCCTTCTTTGACTATCTTTTGTATTTTTTCTTATGTTAAACTTAGGAATACTGCTTACAAGTTATTACAGAGATTAAGTTGCTCAGTTTTCTATGGCAAGAATGAGCTTCATACTGCACAGATACATGCAGCCCTTTGCCTGTAACTGCCCAATGTTTTGATCTAAATCCAGAAAGTTCACTAAGCTTTTCTGTACAGCCACAAAATTGCTGTTCATTTGCCACAGCAAATTAATAGACTAGTTCTTAGCTTGCACATAAGGGTTCATAAATACTGTAGAAGAGCTTGAATTTAGGTGCCTTCTACAGCTGTCTTTGCCTCCTCTTCATACCATCTGCCTGTACCAATAAGAAATACCTGACTTGTTTTACTTAAACCCTGTAGAAGCAACAGACTCTGAAATGTTCAAGAGCTTCTCTGAAATAATTTCAAGTTAATTGTATTTCTGCAAAGCACTTCACAACATTCTATCTCCAATTCAGCGCTGACCATGTGTTATCCATGCCTCAGAGTCTCCAGAAACAGAACAAGTGTAACCCTACATATTGAAGTGCTTCACATAAATAGGCTCTTTAGGTGGTGAAGACAGTTGCTTCAGACTTCCCATGCATCTAGAATATGAATGCAGTAAAGTGGTGTGGGTTTTGGTGGGTTTTTTTTGGTCAGAATACAGTCTGGTAAGTAAAAAAATGTAAATTATGGCCAGAGTATCTCTCTTAGTGGCACTGCATCTTTCAAGAATGCTGCAGTCTTTCTTCCTTCAATATAGTAAATTGCAGATTCTGAGTAATTAAATACAGGACAGTGATGAGTTAAAATTTTCAGAAGTACTCTATTAATTTATCTTGGTTCCAATTAGGTTTATGGAAGTTCTAGTATCAACTTCAGGTAGGGACATTGTTTGAGTACTTTTTGAAATGCCAGTTGGTAAGGTAGGATCTTTCAGGCAGGAATTCTGCATTTGTGGAAACAGCACCTGGTACCTCAAGAATTCAATTTTAATTGGAACCTCTGGGAATCAGAGTCACAGAATGAACTGTTACTAAGTAAGAACAAAAATTTAAATAAAGTATAAGAAAACACCTTCTACTTACATCACCCCCAAAAATGCAGTCTATCTTTAATACATTTGATTGTGAGTCTGGAAGGCTTAATTTGTGTTATGTTCCTATCAGCAATGAAAAGAGAGGTACAGGAAGTGGATTTCAGCTTGTTCAGTAGTGAGTGAAGCTAAAGGTAAGTGCAGCACTGTATGGTTTGGTGGAGAGATGCAATTACAAAACTAGAAGATAAAATATGGTTTTATTTGTGAATCAAAATCCTAGGCATTCTGTCTGAACATGTAATTGAAAGTTCTGGAGGTGGCTATTCATCCCTTAATCCAGCTCTGCAATATTTATATTCATGTTGTGCAAAGTACTAGATCACCATCACTGAAAATGAAAAAATAACTCAGCCATATAACCCAAGAATTGTCTGAGTTTCAGGGGCTTCAACTCATAGTTCAGTCTTACTTTTAGGTTAAAATAAAACACATTTTTTTAATTACTGGATTCTTGATAACTAAAAAATTAAATTTTTTAAATCTTCATTATACTAGCAGAAAGTCAGTATTGCTAGAACTGCATTTGTATTTTCAATACATATGTTTAACTCTGTGCTAGGTTATTATGAAATTTTGAAACTTTAATAGTATTTTTTATGTTCCTGAATTGAAAAGATATAAGAAGGAGTGAAAAATAGACATTAATATGTACTATATATCATCTGAGTCTTGAAGCATCAGTTTATTCACCTATTGCCTGAACTCAGATGTCTGACTGTAGAGTTACTTCATATTTTTGCATATCTTAACCTTCCTCCTTTGTTGAGCAGACCTTAATTTTGTCATGCTTAAGTTATGTGCAGTTTTTGGAGCTTACAAAATGGGCAGTTTTTTGTGTCTCAGATTTATTGAATAGTACAATTTCCTTTTCTCTCGGTTTTTGTAAATCTTTCAAGCTCTTTAGAACTTGTCTGTTGTTGCTGCCATGTCTGGCAGTAATAACTCCTGTTGTAAGCATGAGCTGGCAAAAATCAGTGTTCCTGCCTAAATAGATTTTGCTGTTAATTACCTGCTGATTTGATTTTTAGTCAAGCTTTTAGCTTGCTTGCTGGAAACCTTTTCAGCAGATGTATTTTGCATGTTGCTAGTTCAGATGATGCTTTTTTGACTGTACCCTATTGTATGGTAATTACTAAATTATGCTTCATTCAGCATTGTGTTCATAAGGTTTTCAGTCCTAAATGAATGATACAAATCTGTTGTGTTTGTATTTTTCATATGCTTGTAATTTCTGATGTGAATCCACGAGTTTTATTACTTTGTTAGAAAAGCAGCAAGAAGCATTTCCAGAAATTCGAAAACATCACTAAAACTAGTTTTCTTAACCTCTACTCAAGACATTTCTTTTTTCAGTATGGTATTCCCTTTGTTGGCTTCTAATAGAAGCCAGTGCCTCAATATGTTGCATCACTAGGTTAGAATTTGCTGCTGTATTCATGTTTTTGCATTTTGAAGAACGTGGACTGCTTGCTACAAAAAATGACCCTCACTGGCTGGAGTTTGAAAGTAGCCAGGCTTCATCTTTAACGTCTGTTACACAGTCAAGCTCGCAGCTAAATATTTGCTTGGAAAACTGTATAGCTGTTACAGTGGCAACAAAAATGTTTCTTATTTCTAGAGCACCTTCTAGTAAAGAATATAACATTTCAGATAAAACTGTAGATACTGTTTGGCATACATTTGATTTATTTTTGTACTCTGTACCCAAAGAATTTCCAGATGGGTAAACCTGGTAGGAAAAAGATGTCTTAATGTAATTACTAAGCTTGAAATATGAGATGTGTGTTAAGCTTGAAAAAGAAAGTCACCATTAAGTGGAAGTAAGAAAAAAATTGGATAAACTGCTTCAGTTATTTATACACTTGATTTGCACTGCTGGCCCAAATAATTCCTTTTACTCTGTTAGCACACATTATTCTTTGGCTTTAATAAAAAATTAAAATCTAAGTAGTAGCTCTGTTTGCATTGTTAAAACAAGACAATATTTTGTGGAAAGGTTAGGAAGGGATTTTTAGTTGACTCCTTTTACCCTAAATTGTCCTAAAGGTTTGGAGGGGAAATACAGATCAGGAGAAAATGAGTTTATTCAAATACAGTTGTATTATCTAAGCTTAGGACTAATAATTTTACATTTCTCAAAAGTAAACATCAACCGCATCATCCAGCATATTTATAAGGTATCTTTCTAGGTCTTACTATATACAGGAGAATTGGAAATTTGGGAGAGAGAGATACCTAAAGCTTTCTAGCCTTGCTGAAGTTACAGATTGCATGTTGAGTGAAGTTAGTAAAACATTACTTGAGGGGTCCATACCTACATTGTCATGGCATGGAAGCTGCAGAGAAAAGTGCTCCTGTGTTGCTTTGTGTCAATACTGATATGATTTGGCTGTGCATTGTATAAAAAGGTGTGGAAGACGCTGTGTAGAAGGTACAACAATCACCTTCCTGGAACCTGGCTGTGTAAAGGCATTGTGTGCACAGCAGTGCGATGAGGGGTATCAACAGGGAGAATGGCTAGTGGCTTGGCTGCTGGTTTGGTGTGCTCAATTATTTTGTCCTTCTTCATCCTCCTTTAACTTCCCCAGATAAAATAGTGGGAAGGGGCAAGCACTGATGGAGGACAGACCCATGAAATTTCTGTGCAATTGTTAGTGGAAGAAAGAGTTTCTTCCACAGCTGTCACTCAAATGTTGTGTATTGAGGTAGGACAGATTTTTTTTTTTTCTTCTTTCTGGCTGCTTTAAGTTAGTGGGGCATTATCTTGTCACATAAGTGTTTCTTCACCAATGCAGTGTAGTAAAATTGAATGCCTTTTAATTAATAACCATTATAATTTTATAGTCAATCAGTCATATCATCAAACTACGCTGTAGGACATTAGTGCTGGTTGGATTGTGTCTTGC